TCACACAGCCATCCCAGCAGCACTCATTTCATGAGAAACAGTAAACCAATAAACGTCAAAAAATGCACAGCGCGCCGTAAATCAGAAATTAAAGTAAGAATAAATAAAAACTGGGTTAATAGTCCGGCAGTAACACCGGAAAGGATGAAGAAAATAGATTAGGTCGCAATTTTATTTCATGTGCCATGCAACACAATATAGACGATCGTGTGTTTGTGTATACATCTTCCCCGCAAAAATGGCAGAAAATAATCTGATAAAAAAAGAAAAGATCTTGCTGCTCCACCAGCCCACACAAAATCCCTTATAATTCATCCGGCATCCGGCGTGTTCCTTCAGTCCTCGTACGTGCAGTCCGTGGCACGCACAGCAGTGAGGCCGACACAGCGACTGGACAGGAAAGAAAACAAGATGGAAAAAACGTCACTCATAATGATGTGTAGAGCAGTCAAACAGCCATTGGGAAAACACAAAGATAATTATTATTCCAATAAAACACAAGCAGCAAAAGAAAGAAAAAAATAATTAAAATGAGGTCCTTTACAACATTCGGTAAGCCCCAGCGATGAAGTCGCACCTTTTCGCGGTGCTGGGGCTCTGGTTGCGTATAGGAACTCCGCTGCTGTGCATTGCTGCGAGCACGACGGAGACCAAGACGACTCCACCCCTCGAGAAGGTTCCACGCCATGCCCGGTGCGGGGAGGTGAATCGGTCTGCCTGCAGACTGTCGGGCAAAACTGCACGACCGTTTCGCTGCGGCCACTCCGTTGATGTCACCCGTGGCGGTGACGTTCGCAAGAACTCTGGCACCGAGGAGGATGGCTACATCACTAATTGGCAGCTCAACATTGCAGGCCTCTCGTCCGCAAAAAAGATTGCATCTGCTGCGCGACTGGAGCAGCGTCCACCTGACATCGTTCTTCTCCAGGAAACAAATACTCGAATTGCCACAGCGGCAAAACTAACCGGCCATAATAGCTTTCTTCAGGCCGCACTGGGCGCGGTGGTGGCGGTGTCACTCTGGTGCGCCACTCTCTGCCGTGCGAGCGCCTGACGCTCCCTGGCACAGACCTCCTGGAGACCATTGCTGTCCGTGCACCTCCACAGGGATTTCCCAGCATCTGCGTGGTGAATCTCTACAGCCCTCGCACAGCAACCGTTAAGAGCTCTTCGTTTATTACTGCCACTCGTCGCTCAGGCCCCGCAGCGATTATCGCGGGTGACCTGAATTTACATCATGGACTCCGGGACAGTCATACGCCTTCAACGACCGGAGGAGAGGATTTGCCCTCTACTCTAATTGACATGGATTTCGAGCTGGCAAATGACCCGGCGCAGGCAACGCGGATCACAAATCGTAATGTCTCATTCCCTGACGTGGCTGCGTATCGCGTACTGCGTGTCACCCACTGGCAATCCACTCCCTACATCGATTAGGACCACTGCTGAATATCTTACTCGGTGGGGATGGATGAGGGCGTTCCGCGACTAGCCAACACGCTGCCTCGGCGGGAGAAAGCCACTTTTGCCCTGCGCAAAGCGGATTGGCCTGATTTCATTTCGTTGTGTGAAACACTCCTTGCCGCCGCGTCCACATGTCTGGAAATTCGCAGTGGTATCTTACGAGCAGCTGAGCGCCATATCCCGCGCGGCAGCCGCGACAGCCCAAAACAATCTGGACGAACGAAATGGAACAAGCCGAGCCCGCCGCCGAAGCAGCACACAAAGCACACACGTCGCCTCGCCAGGAGACAGCCTGCTTCGAGCCGAATTCATCCAAAAAGTGGAGGACTAAAATCAAACATTACGCCGTAGCTTCGCTATGCTTCTGGAAGCCCGCGCGGAAAAAATTGGGGCCTCATCCAGCCCGAGCTGGCGATATCTCCGCGGCGTGGCGGCGCCGCACCCTCATCCCCTGGAATCGGTGGTGCTCCGCACTGAACTTCGGACTGCGCTCTGCCTCGGCAACAGGCAAATCTGCTCCTCCCCCATTTTGTGCGGTTTCACGTGCCACATTACATTATACTGCTGCTGCTGCTCGTCGCGCTCCATTGCTTTCTGGTGACCGGGAAATGGATCGGCCTCTCACGCCGTATGTACTTGACGTAGCCATCCGTAACTCTTCGCTCGGCTCAGCCCCTGACCACGACAACATGTCGAATGAGTTCATGCACCATCTCGGGCCCGTTGCGCGCGGCACTCTTAGAACGATGATCCACAACTCCTTCGCAAATGGCAGCCTGCCTGGCTCCTGGAATACGGTGGACACTATTCCCATTCCCCAACCTAGGAAGGGTCCATGCCGCCCAGAGAGTTACAGACCTATCACGCTGCTCTCTGTGTTACTAAACCGAAAGAATGATTCACCGCCGTCTATCAGCGTTATTGCCGCACCACCCACGTCAATTCGGGTTCACACCTTCGCGTTCAACATCGGACGCGATGACAATTGTTATTGGTAAAATTACCGTGGATTGAATGAGTCCAGCACTGTGGAGTATGAGCGCTCTGGAGACGGCGCCCACACACAACACCCTCGTCACCATCGCTCGCTCGTGGCCTGATTGATTTTTCGACTGCGGTCGACACCGTTGACAATGGGAAGTTATTCGGCATGCTTGACAGACTTCCGCGCCTCGGCCACCGAACGAAACTCTGGCTGCACAACTACCTGCGGGGCCGCTATGTTAGGGTATGCACTCGCGAACAGCACTCCCGGAAACAACTCGCCTCAACTGGAGCACCACAAGGCAGCGTCCCGGGACCCAGCTCTTCCTCCACTGTGTGGATGATCTGCCGCGGCGCATGGACAACATCTATTCCGCCTCCGCACTCATGTGCGCTGACGAACACATACTTGTTGCCTCAGGTGCGGGCATCCATGCATGTGCTGCGGCAATGCAACCCGCCCTGTCACGTATAACGACATGGGCTGCCGAGCACAACCTAAAAATCAACGATGATAAGAGCGAAGCTGCTCTATTCCACACCTCTTCACACACACGGTCTGACAAGGAAATGGTCGATCTCCATCCTGGCAATAGGAACCTGCGTATTCAGTCACGCCCAGTGCGCTTACTCGACACCACGTTCGATCGACTTCTTAATTCTGGTCCGCACGCTTCCACCGCTGCAAAGCAGACAACGCCACGCCGCTACCAATTGCGACCGGTTGCACAGGCTGGTGCGTTCCATCACAATACGCAATCCTTTTCGATTGGATACGGTCATGGTGTGTCACTGTATTCTGGCGAGGCAATTGTCCCATGCCTTGCCCCCACCTACCTCCATAATACGGAATTACTGTACCGCAACAGTTGTAAAACGCACCTTGGCATTAGTGCACCAACGGAAGATACATCTTTCTAATTGGAAGCCAATCCTCTCCCGCTCCGGAGGATACTCTGGCTCAGTGACACAAATCAACACGAACGCTATATACGCCTCCATGATCACGAGGATTTGCGCTCCCTTATCTACTCGGAACCTGTGCCGCTGTCCATGCATGGGAAAGCGGCGACATCAATCCCACTTCCGAGAGATGCCGTTATTAATGGATTAGAATGTGTATGTGGCACTATTGGGATACCACACAACCACAATCACGCTCCTCCTATTACCCGACATCGAATTATTCCCTGAGACGCTGCGGGCTGCAATAACGTGAAATTTTATCGGCCACCCTTTGCCAACGACGCCTCTGACGATGTCAAGCGCACGGCTTTTAATTCCCTTTACTCCTCTCTAGAAGATTATAATTTTGAATTATGGACAGACGGTTCTTCATCACTCGCTGCACTCGCATCTGGATCCGCTGCACCATTATACAGCCCCACAAAGACAAATGGTCTCCCTGTGGAGGTCCATCGTGCAGCAGCCGGCATACTCGCACGCTCATAGGGAGCAGAGAGCCTTGTCACTGAAAATTGGCTTTAGACATCTCATACCTCCTCGTCCGGAAACATCCCAATCGTCCACACAAACCCCGGTGTCAACCGACTCCCTGTCGGCAACTGAGGCACTCCGCGCTGCCCCACTGGCCGTGCGTGACTGCGTTGCTGAAGAGATTTGGGTTATGCTGCTTTCCTTGGTGAAGCGAGTTCACCCCGCACACCTTATATTTCCCCCATCGCACTGCAGCGCCCCACGCAATGAGGCCGCTGACGAAGAAGCCACGATTGCACGATCCCTGCAGCAATGAGGCGTCCCGATCTGGCACGTGGAATTCCTTGCCGCCGTCAAGAGGTTGTACTGGAAGGAATTCCAGGAGGAAGAAGAATTCGCACACACCGCACGCCAGGCGCTCGTCGGTGTGGCAAGGGCTGTGTTCCTGGTGTGCAGGCAGACATCGGGCATCGAATCACGACTTCGCGCAGATACAATGCGACTCCTGCCCACTCCTCGGCAGACCGGCACGCGCCCTGCAGATCACAAGCAACCCTTTGTGTTGGTGGTGCCGTCCCTTCCTCACACTGAAGAGGCAGGACCGCCCCGACCTCCTCCGGAACCTCCACCTGGCGTGTCGACGGCACCTCCTCGTAGAACGACGAGCAGCGGATCAACGTCGTCCTGCCCAAGCTGCGGCAGCGTCTTCTCGTCCGTCCACAGTATGAAGGCACACGCCCGACGCACGAACCCCGGCACTCCAATCGTTGCAGAAGGCCTCACATGTGGATTCTGCGACAGCTCCGCGGTCTCCCCAACAGGTGCCTCACGCGCAGGTCACTACCGAAAATGTCAGGCGTATCAACGAGCAAAAAACGGACAACGCACCTCTGCAGGCTCCAATGACAGCCGTAGCCCTTCAGCCACTCCTCTGCTGCAACCCCCATCAGCCGCTGAGCCCCGACAATCCACGGGAGGCCGTGCCGCACACGCAGTGGGAATGCCCCCGTCCTCGACAACTGAGCATCCGACTATTTGGAAACATCACCTCTCGCACGACAGCACCGTTCAAGAGGGAAAAACTGGCCACGTCGCTACGGACAGCCCGCAGGCCATTAACGGACAGTGGCTGCAAAGTATAACGAAACAAATACTTCCCTTTCCTCAGCATAGAAAAACGTCACCTTCACACTCGCAATTGCCAACAATGAATTCATTGCACAATACCGCTCCGAGCTGCAATACTTCCTGGTGCCATCCAGGTCCCTTGTCGACACATCGATGCGGGTGGGCGCCCATCCATTCCTCCCAATGACGCTGCATGTCTGCGACGCACCCTCAGATCCAAGAGGCACGTCCCTCACCACAGCCGGGATCGACTTCGCCCTGTCCGCACGCATCGCCTTTTCAGAGGAGCAGGAGCACGTCAGGCTGGCAGCAAAGCACCCGCCAGCACAACACATCACAACCATCATCACAACCAGAAGCACCAACAGCACTGCAGACCGTGGTGTGACGTGGATCAACTGACGCATGCTGTACGTAACAGAAAACATTTACTGGCTTGAGAAGGATAAGAAACACTCACAATACCTCAAAAGAAAATAATAAAATAAAAATAGAAAATCATACGTTTGCAGTCAAAGCAGACCAATAATCGATAAAGAAAGGGGTAACAGGTGCTCTCAACCACAACAAATAAAACAATTAAAAAAAGAAGAAACAAAAAGCCGAAGCGTGGGACGACCAGCGCACACACTCTCATTACTCCCGTAAAGCAAAACACACACACACAGAGGGAGAGAGAGAGAGGTCGCCCACTCAATGCAATGGAAACAAAACAGAAACAGTTACGGTGCTCCGCCCATGCAGCCAGGCAGGACGGCAGCGGTGCGTGTCGTGCAAAAGAGAGCACCAACGGGCCTGCATGGGTGTGCATGCATATATACAATGGGCACATTATGTGTTTGCCTCGTGGGGTGAGGTGGGGGTTTAAGACAAATTATTGAGGACAATCCTAAGTGTGTCATCAATTGCACTTATTTGTCGTGTGCCGTTAGGACTGATTCTTCGATTCATGGTCGAATATGTTTTGAGTTCTTTCAAACCCCTGTTACTCTAATATTACTGGAGGAAAATGGAAGAGGAAGCCTTCTTGTTATTATGCGGGCCGAGGTGCTCTCTGTGCGCAGCTTGTTTTTGGTTGCCTTCCCATTTCTTGGTCCACTATCGACATGTTGGTGGCAATACTTTGCTGCAAGGAGCGGCGAATAAAGGCAGTTCGAAATCACACGCCTTGACGCGGGAGCCGCAACGGAAAAATGAGTTTTTGGAGTCTCGCGGGATACAGGCATCCTTTGCCTACGTGGTGTCAGCAGAAAACCCTGCAGACGGCATATCGCGTGGTCGCGTGTTTACACTTCAGGACTTGGCGAAGGGAAGCGGCGGGGTCTTGTGGCAGGAGGAGTCCAAAGTTTGCCACTTCGTGAGTTATAATATATCTAGTACTAACAAAGTACATCGTGTCATGACAGTGGCAGTCCCAATATATATTCTTGGAGCAGACACTGAGGAGGTGGCGAACCCACGGCCTCTCTATTTAACTTTTCTCTTCATCCGTCATGTTTGACTTCTTTAGATCATTTCAGGATCCGGCCAGCAGCCCAGCCCAATATTGCTTTGTATAGGCGGTTATGGGTTGTTATCTCTGCCACTGGGACGTTTGGCATGCAGCAAACTGCGGTGGGCGATTAATAGCTATTTGCCTCTATACGAGCACCTGTGAAGGGTGTTTGTTCTCTGGTTGCCGGAGCTTTTATTGCGTGCGAGACGTCGGCGGTTGCTTGTTTATTTTCCATTATTTATTTATTTGTATTATCGTGAGACGCTGTTTTGCTCGATGGAGCGCAGTGTTAGGAAGGAGAACTGTTTGCGCAATCTGGCGTCACGCCGTGCGGTGCGCTTACTGGGAGAACAGCGGCTCTGTTGAACAAATGTTCAACTTGACGGCAAAATACTTTTGTCGGGATGCCGGTGGTAGGAAAAGATATGCTTAGCCCAACACCTGAAAAAGAGTGGCACCATTAGAGTAGAATCCGCTTTTGGTTTAGAATTTATGGCCATGAGGGTGTAATTTCCTCTTCGGCAAAAATGGAAATGAAAAGCGGCGTTGTTGAACTCAACAATAGTTCTTTAATTGTGTAGCTCTTTGTTGCATTGTTTCTCGGCAGCGGGGGATCATCGTTCCACCGTGCTAGCTCGGTGGCATGGCGTATCGTGCGCGTTTCACGCCCTCTCCGGGGCCGGGACCTCCTTTTACGTTTCCACTCGGCAGGGCGGACGTGCTCGAAGACGGTGGCCGGCGTGTGGGTTATGGAATTTATTTGGAAAAAACACGATGAACAAGCAACAGAAACGCAATGGACTCATATTTGGCACTGGATTCTGGAAATTTACATTGCGTTCCATCGATTTGGAAAGTTGGTTTATGGAACTTGTCTTGGCGACACGAGCTTGGGATTCTTGCACGTGCCGCATGCTTGAGGAATGGGCGTGTGGAAAATAATTCTTTCCCGATCTTATACATCGTTGCTGGAGGCATGGCGTTTTCAAGGCGCGGATCCACGTTGCCTTCCGATGCAGCCGATGAAAGGCGACACACGCATGGAGCCCGCTGGAGAAACCGCTGTTGAAGTGAGTTCGGGCCGTTTTTCACCCACCGAGTGAATTTCCATCTCTTTTCTCCTGCCCATAGATGCGGGTTTCTGCGAGAGACTTTTTTCTGTAATTGAATACCTATATGGGTGGTGAAATTTCCTTCTCCAGCGCACCCGCTATTTCCTTTGAACTATATATATATGGAGAAAGAGAGAGGGAGAGGGAGGCTCTGTATTTGGTTTACGAATGGGAATGCGAACTGGAAAAGAAGACGCTCTGACCTTCTTTCTACGAGGTCCCCACAACCTTATTATTGCTGCATGGTTTATTCTCCCTTTCCTGAGTGGCTTCCTTCTGCCCTTTAGGGGAAAGCATACAATCAAGCATAACATGAACGAAATTATTACTCGCTTCTTTAGTAGCTCCTCACACTGTAAGCCTGAAGTTCTGGGCCGCATCCTTCACGACGTCGAGAATTTGTGCAACACCTTCCATTTCTACTGTCGCGACGCCACTTGGGGAGTGACACAACAGGAAAAGCTTTGCATCTATGGTGGGCTTCCTATTACTATTAAGAAGAGCAACAGCGACCACACTTCTTTAACCCCAGACAGCCGTGAACAAGCGCCACCACATCGTTATGTCTTGCCCTTGCAGATATGGCTGACGCACTTGTACCCCATTGAGCCTCCTCTGGTGTTTCTCCTCAGCGCGGAACAAGGCTGCAGGATAGCGAGCAACCACAAATACGTTGATGCTACCGGACGTTGTCACACGCCGGAGCTAGCAGCATGGCATCCAGTTTCATCCTCACTTTGTGATGTCGTCAAGAAGCTGTGCCAGTTGCTGTCAGCTGAAGGCTCAATCCCGCTTTGTTTTGGTGAAGAAGGCGTCAGCTCACCCTCAAAAGGCCATGCGACAGCAGTCTCACAGCGATTGCGTCATGGATTAGAAAATGGTGACGATGATAAACAGACGGATGAGCATGAGAGGTGCGTGGTGTGCTTTTCTCCCAAGGAAACGGTGCTCGTTCCATGTGGACATTATTGCCTATGCGATGCATGCGCAACAAATGTGACTCATTGCCCTCTGTGTCGTGGGTCGGTCAAGTTCCGTCAGCGTGTGTTTTCATGACAGTCAAGGGGTCGTCTAGTTGAAGAGAGAGACAAAAGCCGAGACGCCACAAAGTACTGTCGGAAGTTATTCACGCAGTGAAACGATCCCAAATGGCAATGGCATACCAGTAAAAAAAGAGAAACATGCGCAGTGATATGTTGTCTTTGTCCGCTGAAGCCTTGACAATTGCAAAGGACTTCCCTGAATTTCTCTCAGGCTCCTTTGGTGTAACTTGGATTTTATTTTCCGCATTCATTCGAGGCAAAACAACAGTGGACCGCTAAAGCATCGTTCTCATTTTGGTTTATGCCAAGCATTTGTACCGCCCCAATCGCATTGCCACCCGCAACCAGCGTCTCTGGGAGGTGGCGGGCTGGTGACGAGACGTCCCCGCCGCCCGGGCACACGCGCAGCACACGTGTCCTCCCATGAGAGGGCGGCGTTTGACACGGAGCGGGGCCGACATGATGGCGCCGCGCCTTCCATGGGCCGAAGCGCCGCGGCGAAATGAAACAAGGAGGAGGGGAGACGCGGAAAAGAGGGAAGTGCAGCGGCCAGGAAGAATGGAAGAAAAAGCCCTTGCGGCGAAGGAACGCCCCGCGAGCGGGAGGAAAAAGGCCGTCACGGGCAAGTTCCCTCCTGCGGCGCGGCCATTTGTTCCACCCGGGCCACGAGGTGTCGCAAAACGCTTTTCGCTGGCGGATCTCACGAGCAGCTGGAGGCATCAAGTATCCTCAAACAGCGCCCACCGAAGTCTTCGCGGAGAAGTTATAGGAATCGCCCCTGATGAGAGTGTCTTCACGAAGAACCTCCTCATTCATTGCCTAGTTTTTCCGCCCGGCTATGCCGACCCCGCGGACAACGATTCCGACGGTAGCCACAAGGGAAAAGAGCAGATTTGCGTTCAATTTGTGTTGGCAAGAAAATGTCCGTCACCGCAACCTTCTCCACTGCAGCACCAATCTGCCCACAGCCGCCGATTTGGGTTTCCAGAAGCTCGTCTGTTCCGACGCCGTGGGAGTGCGTGTGTGCTATCCGCTTCTCTCTCCGCCGTTGCTTTCTTTGGACGCTCTTTTGCCGCACAGCCGCCCTGCAGGTATAGGCATTGACAGACACACAAGCACATGTAAATACGCACAGACACACACACACACAAACACAAACACACGCCACGTCGTACATGCTTTGGAGCGGCGTGAACGCTGAAAACGCACGTACGCAGAAGATTCTGGCTGCGGTGGCTTTTGCGAGGAGGAAAAAAGCCTGCAATTCATTTTTCTGACATCTTGCTGGTGTGGTGTTGGCGGCATGCAGCTGATTGGGTGGTGTGTCATTGAGGGTGCCTGGGGTACGTGCGTATCGCCTCCCGCACAGCAGCTGCACGCGCTGCCGTCTCTCTTTTGCTGCTCATCGGCCGATGTGGGATTCTTCGTCTGTGCGGGGTGATGTGCGCCAGCGGCGGAGCGGGTGCGTTGGAGGGACAAGAATTGAACGACGGGCGGCAGCGTGTCGGTGTTTCGAGGACTGTCGTGTCCTTTTGCCTCCCGCTGGTTGTTATCGTGTGTGGGCGTTGCTCGGTGTGTACTGACGCGTGAATAACGACACACCCGCCGTGACTCCTGCTGCTATTGGTGGCAGTCGCTGTGTGTTCCCGGTGCACTGTTCTTCCGTCTCGTTCCGTGTGTCTGTGTGCGTGAGTTGTTGTTTTTGGGAGTGACTGCGGCGGGATGATGGTGCCACTCACTGTGGATGGGTGGCGGTGTTTATTCCTTCAGCCATATTTTATTACCCTGTTTTCTTTATTTCTTTCACTCTCTTACGAAGAAAGCAAACAAGCGCTAAACGCTACTGTGAAATTCGAAGGCTCTGAAAGGACCAACAGCACAAACACCGCCCACACAGACATATTTATATGCTCTCACGTGTTGCTGCAGTGATGGCATCCCGCACACACAACCGTCGCCGCGTGACCGGATCCAGCGGAAGGAGGAGGGAAGGAGGAGAGAGTGAGCCGCAGAGGCCCAACATGTCCCGGCGTGCGTTCACTTCTGCGATGCTGCTCCTCCTCGTCGTGATGATGTGCTGCGACACTGGTGGAGCCACAGCCACTAATAATGGGACTTCGCGGAGGGCAAGTCTGAGATCTTCACCGAAAACATATTTTTTTTGGAGAGATAAGAATGAAGGAGAAACAGTGAGTTCTTTACGTGTTCCAGTTCTTGTTGAGATGAATGATGATGTGTTTGCCGTTGCCGAGGCGCAGTGCACGGAAACCAGTAACAGCGGTTTTGCTGGGATTGCCTCGGAGCTCCTGGAGTGGACCGATAAAGAATCAAAAGAATTGGATACAACTAAACTGAGGACACAAGTACTGGAGAAATTTCAGGTTGAACAAGGGAAGTTTCCCTTCCTAAACGTTACTCAGAATGCCTCCCAAAACCGGACGAAAGTACGTGTGAGCCGGCCAACAACAGTTGTGAATGGGAGTGTTATTTACATGTTTGCTGGAACCTACAGTTTTGAAGTGACTGAAGCAGCTGGTAGCACAGCTGCAGCAGCTAAATGGGGACTTTTGGTAGCTGTGGGAAACGTCAGTAATGATGGGAGCAGCGGTAAAAAAAAGATTTATTGGAAAGACGCTTCCGTTATCCCGTGGACTGAGTTTGAAAACCAACACGAATCCTTGACAGGGCTGATTGGCGGCGGTGGATCGGGTGTTCAGATGAAGGACGGTACGTTTGTGTTCCCAATGGAAGGGACGAAGGATGGAAAGGCCGTTTCGCTCATCATATACTCCTCAGACAATGCGAGTGGGAATCTGTCGAAGGGGATGTCTGCCGACGGCTGCAGTGATCCCTCCGTCGTGGAGTGGAAGGGAAAACTCATGATGATGACTGCGTGCGATGACGGCCGCCGCAGGGTGTACGAGTCCGGTGACAAAGGGAATTCGTGGACGGAGGCCCTCGGGACACTCTCGCGCGTGTGGGGCAACAACCAAAAGCGACATGAGAAGGGCGTTGGAAGCGGTTTCAGCACAGCGA